ACCATAACTATGATAGCGTACAAGAACCTCACATTGTGATTAGGCTCCGTGGCTGCGATAGCAATGCAAGGACTTATGTGATTAGGCTCTACGGCTGCCACGAACAGTGAAGAACCTCATGTTTGGTGATTAAGCTCCATGGCTGCGATAGCAATGCAAGGACCTTACATCTGATTAGACTCTATAGCTGCACAGGCGGTGCAAGTTTGGTATTGGACTTATAGTGATTTGTATAATGATTTGCAATTAAAAGTTCGATTACTGTACTTACAGGCTATTATGGCTGCATAAATGATTTAAATAGGGTTGTATTTGCTATTGGCCTTATAGTGATTTGTATAGTTATCTGTTGTAAAAATTCAGTTACTAAGAAAGGAGATCCGTATCCAACTTTAAACTTATATGGAAATAATCTATGATGCGCAGGCAAAAAAGATTAAAGAGGGTTAAAACTTATGTGATTAGTCATGTGAGCGAACAGACAGACAAAAATTACCTCTAAAAAATTTACAAAGTACAGTTAATAAAACCAAGATAAATATTTTAAAGTTCTGACTTTGATTTATATAGATTACTGTGATTTAAAAATTTGTTATATATTAGATTGATAACCAATAGGATTGCAAATCTATATTACAAGATATATATCTATGTTTTTTTTTTTTAGCCCTCCCCCCATCATCATATTGGCTACTAATTTTATGTTAAACAGAAAATTAAATTGGTGTGGCCTTATTTACATAAAAAAAAAAAAAATTCTTTAAAAAATTGTTTATTGAATTAAATGAATTATTAAAAATCTCTGACAAATTTAAAAACATTGTTAAAATTGAATCAAGAAAATCATTTATTCTGCTTCTTACAGATTTAATCGTTATTATTTATACTGTACTTGTATACTACTTGATAGTTATTTTGACTAAAAATATATAAACTTCTTTATTTCACCTTTTAAATTTAAAAATTATTTATATAATATAGAGATTAGACAAGTAGTTAGTAAAGTAGTACAGTACAGTAATGCAGATTAGAACAGACGTACAAAAATTAGGTAAGATTTTGATAGTACATACATTTAAAAAAAAAAAAAATTCGTACTAGTACATACAAATTTCTTTTATATTTTAGTACTTTCGAAATCTTTTAATAAATAAATGGTACTAAAACTTTAAAATACCAGACTCAATTCCTAAAAACATATCTGAATTATAAATTTATAAGTTCGATTCCTGACTTTTTTTTCCCAGCATTAATCCCATATAAATATTTGAATATTTAAAAATTTTTTTTTTCAAAAGCATGAATTTTAAGAAATAATCAGCATTTATTTAATTACAAGTGAATACAAATTTTTAATTAACGCAAAGATGAGCATATTTATTGAATTAACACAAAGATGAGCATATTTATTTAAAATAAATCCAAGCTATCCCAAATTACAAACCCAAGCTTGCTTTCAACTGCTGGTTTTGTAATTCAATAGCCTCCACTTCAGCAGCTTCTTTTCTAACTCTGGTTTGACGTTCTAACAAAGCAATTTTTCTTTCTTCTAATTTAATATCTAAAAATGAGTTATTTTTACTGTTATTTTGTACCATTGATATACTCTCAGCATTATTCATTAATTCCATTTCTGTTACTTCAATTGCATCTTGAAAACTGGTTTCATAATGTAATATTTTATTATTCTTGTTGGTAGTGGAATCTTTCTTTTATATACTTTAGTACTTGTAGACTTATATCTTGTTGCTAAATAAATAAATAAAAAATAAATGAATTTTGATATATATAATTTTAATAGTTAATTATAAAATAAATGTTTACCATTTCTATTTGCTGCAGTTTGTTGTCTTTTAACCTTACTTTTGTCATTTCTTGTATATGGTATACCTGAATTCTTATAGGTTTGTTTAATTTTTAATAACCTTTCATCATATCGCCTTCTGCTAAAATAAGTAAATAAATTAATAAATAATTTTAGTATAAATAATTTTATATAGTTAATAAAATTACTGTAGAATAGCTGATAAAAGTTTTAATTGCTTTCCTTCCTTATTTACTAAAGCATGAGCTAATTCTGCAGAATTGGTATTATTGTCATATTTTCTCCAAATATTATGCTCTATTTTAGACATATGTATATTCAGTGAAGATATTATCCAAGGTGTTTTATAATAATTAGCTCATTCTAATAAAATTTTTTAAAATTAATATAATTATTAATTTTTTAAAAAAATTAATTTTACTATATGAACCTTTAGCACCTAGTTCATCTGATGATTCAATTTTATCTAAAATTGATTCAAATATTTCTTATAAAGGTGCATTAAGGATTGACTTAGCTAAATTATGAATTTCTTGTGAAAACTGTTTGTTAAACAGATTTCTAATTATAAAATAAATATATAATTAGTTATTTTATTAAAATATAGTATATATAACCTTAATGCATATAATTATTGAATTAATAATAAAATTTAATAGGACTAAAATGTCTATATAAATATTATATTTATATTTATTAGTTTACCAATAAATATAATTTGTAACTACGTATATTAAGAGTGATAAGTTTAAAACTAATTACTATTTAAAATGAACAATACAAAACTTAAATATATGCATTAAATATATTTTCCAATCTTGCGATAGATCTATATTATATAATACAAGTCTAAACCTTTTGCTTGTGCAGTATTCAAATCTCCTATTATATACTTCTAACCTTTTTGATAAATATGATAGATATATATGTTTTTATTAGTGAGTTTCTAAATCATTTCAAATAAAGTACAAAATAGTTTTTTGTATCCATCAGCTAATAATACATTTGTATATATTCTGCAATAACTTAAAACTACTGTTTTATTAGTATATAATAATAGTATTTATAAATTTTAAATTTTTAAAAATATATTAAAAATACTTACTTAATTTATTTTTTGCATCATATATATTAATTTCAAATTTATTGATATCACCTTTAATACATTTGAAGGCCAAATTAATTTGAAAACCTTTTAAATTAATTAACAACTCAGCCTGCTGTTTTAGCATATAATTAATTAAAATAAGACCAGAGTTAATCTATTTTAAATAATATAAAAAATTAATAATTAAAATAATATATCAATATATAAATATAAATTTATAAGATAGTGTAAAATTTAGTAGTATCATAATCTCTAAGCTAAATATTTTGATTAGTCTAATTCAGAATATTGATCAACTTTTTTTTTTTTTTTTTTTTTTTTTTTTTTATTTATTGATAATATCAATTAGGAAAAGGATTAGTACATTTATATATCAGAATAGTATATATGTGAAGCTAATGTGAATTCCTAAATTTCACTGTTGTTGCTAAGACTATTTGTAATAGTTAGATATCCAATGTGATATT